TTATATGCTTTCCTATATTTCTTATATGCTTTCCTATATTTCTTATATGCTTTCCTTTATTTCTTATATGCTTTCCTATATTTCTTATATGCTTTCCTATATTTCTTATATGCTTTCCTATATATGCTTTCCTATATTTCTTATATGCCTTTCCTATCTTTCTTATATTGCTTTTCCTATATTTCTTATATGCTTTCCTATATTTCTTATATGCTTTCCTATCTTTCTTATATGCTTTCCTATATTTCTTATATGCTTTCCTATATTTCTTATATGCATGCTTTCCTATATTTCTGCTTTCCTATATTTCTTATATGCTTCCTATCTTTCTTATATGCTTTCCTATATTTCTTATATGCTTTCCTATATTCTTATATGCTTTCCTATATTTTTAGATGCTTTCTATTTTTCTTATATGCTTTCCTATATTTCTTATATGCTTTCCTATATTTCTTATATGCTTTCCTATATTTCTTATATGCTTTTCTTCTTTCCTATATTTCTTTTATGCTTTCCTATATTTCTTATATGCTTTCCTATATTTCTTATATGCCTTTCCTATATTTCTTATATTGCGCTTTCCTATCCTTATATGCTATGCTAGCCTTTTCTTGCTTTCCCTTATATGCTTTCCTCCTATATTCATTGCTTATATGCTTTTCCCCTTATTTCTTATATGCTTTCCTATCTTTCGTATGTCCTTGCCCCTCCCACCCCACTCCCCCTTCCCCCCTCGCCACGCAACAGCCCCAGTTCTCCTCCCCCCCTCCCCCTCACCCCGCAACAGCCCCAGTTTCCCTCCCCCCCTCCCCCTCCCCACCTCCCCCCCTCCCCCCTCCCCCCCTCGCACGCAACGCACGCAACAGCCCCAATTCTCCCTCCCCCTTCCCCCCCCGCCACGCAACAGCCCCGTTCTCCCCTCCCCCCTTCCCCCTCGGCCAGCCCCAATTCTCCCTCCCCCTCCCCTTCCCCCTCGCCACGCAACCGCCCCCGTTCTCCCTCCCCCTTACCCCCCCCTTCCCCCCCTCTCCACGCAACAGCCCCAATTCTCCTCCCCTTCCCCCTTCCCCCTTCCCCCCTCGCCACGCAACAGCCCCGGTTCTCTCCCCGCTCCCCCTCCCCCCCCCTTCCCACCCCTCGCCACGCAACAGCCCCGGTTCTCCCTCCCCCCTTCCCCCTTCCCCCCCTCGCCACGCAACAGCCCAGTTCTCCCTCCCCCCTTCCCCCTTCCCCCTTCCCCCCTCGCCCCACAACAGCCCCCAGTTCTCCCTCCCCTCCCCCCTTCCCCCCTCGCCCCTCCCCCTCCCCCCCTCGCCACGCAACAGCCCAGTTCTCCTCCCCCCTCCCCCCCTCCGCCCGCAACAGCCCCCTTCCCCTTCCCCCCCTCGCCACCAACAGCCTCAGTTCTCCCCCCCCTCCCCCCCTTCCCCCCTTCACGCAACGCCCCAATTCTCCCTCCCCCGCTCCCCCTCCCCCCTTCCCCCGCTCGCCCCAGCCCCACCCTTTCCCCCCCCCCCTCCACGCAACAGCCCAATCTCCCTCCCCCCTCCCCCTTCCCCCTCGCCACGCAACAGCCCCGGTTCTCCCTCCCCCGCTCCCCTCCCCCCTCCCCCTTCCCACCCTCGCCAGGCAACAGCCCCGGTTCTCTCTCCCCCCTCCTTTCCCCCCTTCCTTCCCTCGCCACGCAACAGCCTCAGTTCTCCCTCCCCCTCCCCCACCCTTTCCCCTTCCCCTTCCCCCTTCCCCTTCCCCTTCCCCTTCCCCTCCCCCCTCGCCACGCAACAGCCCCAGTTCTCCCTCCCCTCCCCCACCTTCCCCCTCCCCCTCCCCCCCTCGCCACGCAACAGCCCCGGTTCTCCCTCCCCCCTCCCCCTTCCCCCCCTCGCCACGCAACAGCCCAGTTCTCCCTCCCCCCTCCCCTTCCCCCCTCGCCACGCAACAGCCCCAATTCTCCCTCCCCCTCCCCCTTCCCTCCCTCGCCACGCAACAGCCCCAATTCTCCCTCCCCCCCCCCTTCCCCCCTCGCCACGCCAGCCCCAGTTCTCCCTCCCCCTCCCCCTTCCCCCCCTCGCCACGCAACAGCCCAATTCTCCCTCCCCCTTCCCCCTTCCCTCCCTCGCCACGCAACAGCCCCAATTCTCCCTCCCCCCCCCCTTCCCCCCCTCGCCACGCAAACAGCCCCGGTTCTCCCGCCAGCCCGAGGCCCGCAAATCGCCCCCTGGAAGAAATGGCACAAAAGATAAAATCTTGAATCGATGAGCGGCGGCCGCAGGTGTGCTGAATCGCTAATCGCATGGCCCCCTTTCGCAAAGGTCACCCTCGTCAAAAGGTCACGACCGTGCGAGCGAGCGGACACGGAAAAACAATCTCTGTGTTCTGGCATTCCAGTGAATCCGGGATTTAGCTTACACGAACGCTGTTTTAAAAGCTCTGAAATCTTTTTAACTTGCGACCACAGGGGAGTTTAAAAAGGCTCTAGATCTTATCAGAGTTTGTAACT